TTTATATAGGTAATTAAAGAGGAATATGTCAATGGGTGGGGGGGAGACATTCCGTTAAGATAGGTTTCCGTTTTATACAGGTTTCCGTTTAGGCAGGTTCGACTGTATTGGTAATATGACCTTCACTTTTTAAAAAAACGCTCTTTGGCTAGTCTTTGGACTAAGCCAAGCAATGACGAAGCTTTAAAGGAGTTTGGCGGTACACTACTATTAATAAGACTGCAAATCTCAATTAACGCCCGCCGAAACCTTGCCTACAGCAATGGCCCATTAGTAAACAGTCTAAAAATAAATGCGATCTCAGACTGTCAACGGAAACCTACACTATTCCATGCCGATTCTTTGTGTGCTCCGGTGCTCCGAAGCAATTTAGCGGAGTGTTCAAGCTGAGTTGCGATTGGTTCATTATTGTCTTGTCATTAATTTAGGTCTTGGCAGCTTTCTGTGACCCTGGGCTTGAACGCGGTCAACGTGACATAATTAGGTCACCGTTAGAAGAGCCTCTAGATCTAATTAAGTTTGTTTTGTAGCGTTAAGGTGTAATTAGTTGAGGGTTCAGGTCCAATGCAGGATGAATTAAGTTGTTTTTTGTTTGTTAGCAAAGAGTAAGTCCTGAAAATGAAAATGAAAGTTAAAAAAAAAAGAGAGTGAAAATGTAAGAATAGGGTACTCACCAATCCAAAGATTTCAGTTATACATTACAAGATTAATTTACTAAGCCCTTGACAATCTTCAACCTTGAACCTGCGATGGCTTGCTTAATGCACGTACATTTTTAGCCCCATAAGCTGCCCGTGATAGAGTTCTACCTATGTAGCCTGCAGTTGTTACACACAGACATTTTTAAGAATTTATGTTGCCAACTTATTAATGCTAACCGGACCCTCTCTGTCAAGAACGTGTACCTGTGGACATGTGTTTCGCTGTTTATTGGCCCCTTAAAACTCATGACTTGATTCCATCCCGACCCTTCGTTTGTTTGTTTATTTGCTTTTTTTGTTTCATTTGTTTTATGTGTTTGTTTGTTTGTTTTTAATCTTCATGAGTGTGGCAAAACTTATGATTTTAACAATACAACTAAATTCAGCTTACTTTCGGTGGGATCTTTAAAATTAAATGCTTCCGTTTTTCAAGGCCGCATAATGTCAAATCAGTCGTTTTTTGTGTGTGAGTTTTGTTGGTGTTGGGGGTGTTTTTTTTGGGTTTTTTTGGTAACAGAAACGCCTCAGCACTTAATAGAGATACTCGTTGATATCATCCCCACACGGAAATCGAACTCACGTCTTCTGTGTGCTACGGCGAGGTGTCTAACTGCAACAGTATAAACGCCGGTGCTCCGCCGTCTAATTATATGCAAAGCAGAGACTAAATAAGTCTACTAATAATAAATAACATCTGCATAGCACTTATCCCCACTCAACAGCAAGAAGTGTGCGCTTTACAACCTATGCTATTACCCAAGAATACTCACAAACATTCTCTGCTTCCTATCCAAGGAGCAAACAGTGCAAGCTGCCGGTTTGGCGCTAAAATTAAATTACACAAACAAATTAACAAGATCTTTTGTTGTCTGTAGCCAGGTAGGCCTACTTATTTCCATCTTGGTGAAGATACAGAAATTCGTGTAAACCACAAAGTATCTTTCCCAAGGACACAACGTCGGGCCCGTGACAGGAGTAGAACCCACCTAGACCTTTCAGTTGTATGCCCAATAAAAGTCTCAACGCAGATTCGTGTATGGCAAGGTACGTTGTACTCGTACTTATTCACCAAGTAGGATTTCCGCACGTTCGCACTAATCAATTTCTGGGGATGGGCGTGTGAGGGTGACAGTGTCCAGTTGAAGCCGTTTTTCAAATAAAGACACCAAATGGCATCTTACAATATTATAGCTTCGTTATGTCCCGTTATTTCCTTCCAGCGGTGCAAACAGCAGACTTAACGCTAAAACACGAACCAACTAACAAGGTCTGTCGTTTTCTATAGCCAGGTACTCCTTCCAAACTTGGTGAACTGACGGGGATACGGGGATAGAAATAGAACCCACGACCTTTCTGTAGCGGGCCCAAAAAACACATCGACTCGGATTCGTGTATGGCAAAATACGTTGTACTCGTATATTTATTCACCAAATAGGATTTCCGCACATGTTCCCAAACAGACAAATTGAAGGCAAATGGGAGCAATCGTTATCAGCAAGCAGAGGAAAACAAAATCATGAGCCGCATCATTCCACATTCGTCCAAATCACGTGCAATTTCTGGCAGTGGGCGTGTGAGGGTGATGTGTCCAGAAGAAGCCGTTTTTTTCCAAAAAAAGCATTGAATGGCACTACATGTACAATGTTACTATTGCTTCATTCTGTTCCGTTATTTCCTTCCTGGCTTCTAAAAAACATGCAAGTGCCCTAGACTTGGTTCTGATTTAGGCGCTCTCGTTTTCTTTACTTTTTTTTCCAAAACTAAACAAAAAAAGAGCAAAATGACTTAGGTGCTCGTGGAATGACGCTGAATAAAAAATCAATTTATGTATTGTAAACTTACTGTATCTGAATAACTGTAGTCCACTGTATCGTTATATATAAGCATACCTACCAATGGACACCGGCGAGACATTCTCAGTTACAATGATGAATGTTAATAGTCCTTTCTTAAACTAAAAAAAATATATAGGTCATTTTTATGCCCCCATCGAAACAATTTAGATCATTAAGGAGACAGGCTTCGTTCGATCCTGCAGTCAGGGCCAATCCTTGCTGAGAGGGATATTATAACGTCTCAACAGAAAGACAGAGATCAGTGCAGTCTAGAGTATCTACTATCTAGCCCTCACTGCCAGAGATACATGTTTATATACTCGATAAAAAATGATAATATTCTCCCCAAACGAGAATCGAACTTGAGTCTTCAGCGTGTGACGCCAAAGCGTCTACAACAAGGAGATTAAAAGTAGTTCTAAACTCCTTGGTCTACAACAAGACCAGAGACACCAGTTTTCCTGACTATAAAAAAGGACATAAAACCAAACGACTGAACAAACAAAAGCATCTTTAAAATGCAGTAACGACACTATCAAAATTAGAACAATTATAAGAAGGAGGAGAGATGGGGGACGGTATAATTCTGTTTGATGGGAAAGAAGAAGCAAAGCTACTCCTGAGCACCAACCAATCATCCACGAAAACATATATGTATGACACTAGCAACGGCAGCAACAATAATAATAACAGCAGTATCTATAATATTTCAACAATGTTACATTCTTTTCATTATTCTAAGATGCAACCCCCCCCCCAAAAAAAAAAAAATTTAAAAAATAAAAAATAAAAATTAAATAAATAATTAAACAAATGTAGATCTAGATCTAGAAAATATAAAAATAAAAAGATTAAATAGCAAAAAAAATGTTTTTTAAAGATAGAAAGAAATCATTAAAGGAAAAAAATAACATGGAATATTTTAAAAGAAAAGATAACATTAAAATACCAACGTTACATAATTTTCCTTATTCTAAATTGCAACCTTTAAAGTAAAACAACCCAAAACGCGGAAGACAACATTACAATGAAAATGTTAAATACTGTTCGTTATTCGAATTTGCAACTTTAAAAAACCAAAAAAAACTAAGAATGGATAACATTACAGTAACAGTAACATTATTGACTGGATCATGAAGGAAGCCACCAGATGCACGCACAATGGAATAAAGTGGATCCCTTGGCAGCAGCTAGACGACTTGGACTTCGACGACGACCTTGCAGTGCTATCTCAAACACATGCTCAAATGCAAGAAAAAACCAAGGAACTCAACAGCCTATCAAGGAGTGTACACCTACGTATACACCCGGGCAAATCGAAAGTAGTGAAGCTAGGAAAAGTGTCAAGCCCTTCTGAGACAGTGGAAGACACTCCCCTTGAAGAAGTGGACTCCTTTACCTACCTTGGAAGTGTCATCGATGGTAAAAGTGGAACTGAAGCAGATGTAAAAGCAAGAACCGCCAAGGCAAGGTCAGCATTCAAGCAATTATCAAAAGTCTAGAAAGCAAGCAACATCTCATTGCGCTCCAAGATTCGGCCCTTTAATTCCAATGTCAAGTCTGTGCCCCTCTACGGCTGCGAAACTTGGAAGACAACAAAGACAGTGCTGAATAAAGTCCAAACTTTCATCAACAAAGTAAGAGGAGTATCCTAAGAATTAAGTGGCAGGATAAAATAGAAATGAAGAGTTATGGGAAAGGACAAGACAATAGGAATATAGAAGGAGAAATAGAACTAAGAAAGTGGCGATGGATGGGACACACCTTCAGAAAGCACAGCGGAAATATCGCAAGACAGTCACTGCAATGGAACCCACAGGGAGCACGAGGCGGGGGTAGGCCACGGGAAACATGGAGGAGATGTGTGGAAAGGGACATGAGAGAGATGAAGCTCATTTGGAACGAGCTAGGAAGGATGGCCCAGGACAGAGATAAATGGAATGAGCTTGTATGTGGCTTATACCCTGCCAGGGGTGAACGGCACAGATGATGATGAACAGTTATATTCTATTACTATTCTTAGTTGCAACTTAAAAAAAGAGGTTCAATAATCAGTTTTTCCCGAACTTATATCGACAATGTTAGCTCCCCTCCCCCCTCCCCCTTCACGCTGATCTGGGGGTCGGGGGGGGGGGGATTGGGCACACGCCTTTTCCCCACTCTCCTTGCACAACAGAGAGACCAAATTTTGAAACCATGATTTGTGTGTCACCGACCCTGCAATATAAAGGAAAGACCCCCTCCCCCCCCAAAAAAAAAAGCGCACGGGGGGGCGCCTCTAATAAGTAATGTTGTTTTAAATAAGTGTTAAGTATGCTACCCTGGCTAGAGAGCCGACAACAATCATGTGGCTTGCGTGTGTGAGAATTGAACCTACCACTGTGTTGCGTTGTAGATAAATGCCGGAACAGTGTATGACAATCGTATAAAAACCTTGCCCCTTCCGTCTCACCCCCTACCCCCCCCCCCCCCAAAAAAAAAAAAAAGCACATAAACACGTACACATACACGCACACGCACAAATCTTCGGAAGTCTTGAGACAGGGCCAGATATCAGTGAAAAAATCCCAGTAGAAACGTACAAACTGTTGCCAGTATAATGGCTACCACTGCCAGCATCGTCTGCACCGATGGCTTTTCCCGGATATCCGTCATCTTCCGTTTGATCGCGAGTTTCTCTTCCGGGCTGAGTTTGGGGCGGGGCGTGTCGCTGACTCCGCACATCCACTTGTACATCGTGTAGGCCACGCCCCTTTGCTTTTTATTCTCATCGTGTGAGGCTGGGGACGGGGGTGGAGGGGGGTGGGATAACAAAGAAACAAAACCATATAAGAAATTTTATGACCAAAGTCAAATCATGCGTGGCAGAGATTAATTTCAAAGGAATTCTGCGTCCCAGCTCTCCTGCTCCCCCAAACCTGATGTAGATCGCAAGACAAAGAATCAGACAACTCTTGCTTTTGCGATCACTGAGACTGCTGCCTCCAACTGGGTCTTTAGGGAGCTTCGCTCTTCCATGTCGATGGGGAATTAATGTTGAAGTCCTGCAGAGACATTTTCAGTTTGTCTTTGAAGCGCTTTTCTGGTGCGTCAGCTTTACACTTCCATGAGGACAGCTTAGAAAACGCCACCGATACGCCACTCACTGACAGCTCACCATGATATCACTGGTGCCAATCGTGTAACGGTTAGGCACTTTGCCATTCTCGTGTGAGGGAGAATTTCTATATCTCTCGAATCGGCCTTTCTTCCAAGGTATTAATATTGTAACCCTCTCAGCACGGGTTGATCCCGACATTTAAGTTCGACGTCTGCCTCCTAAATGATCTAAATTGTGTCGATTGTTGCGTAAAACACCTATATTGATACAGCAACAACAACGACAACAACAACAACAACAGCAGCAGCAGCAGCAGCAGCAACAGCAACAACAACAACTTATCTCACCATCTGGCACTTCGTCCTCGTCCACGCCAAAGTCGTCTTCCGAGTCCGTCTCTTCAGGGTCAAGGTCGTCGAGACGAGTCCACCACGTGACCCTGCGCAGCTGTGACCGTGGGACAGGGGGAGACAATAATATTAGTTGACAAAAAGCTATGACTGTCTTTTATTATTTTTTTAAAGGAAGTGTTTTACGGCGCACGCAACTGCATTGGGTCATATGGGCACGTGGGACACATCAAACATTTTATGTTGGTAGGAAATTTTTGAATTTTTGCCCGGGTGGCGGCCGAAGCCTACTCTTATCGATTTTATACCACCAAGAGATCTTAAACGTGCGCAACTTGCGCACGGGACCTCCGAGATGTTTTGTCCTTGTCCGAGAAGGCTAGGAGTAGATCTTTCCTACCAGAGGATATGGGGTAGGGCTGAAAGACAGGAGAAAGAAGGAACCAAGGAGTAACAGTAGAAAGGCTGCAGAAAGAGTCAGAAGCCCAGAGGAGGGGGTATAGAGCGTGAGGGGGTAGGGGCAGAAAGTGGAGAAGAAAGCAGACGACATAACATTGCTAGAGAGCAGAAAAGAAGGGGAAAGAAGACAATTTTAGGGGAGATCATTTTTTTGGTCGGTACCCGGATTCCAACCGGGACCTTTGAATGAGAGGGGAACACCTTAACCTCTAGGCCACGAGGGTCCCTTTTTGTCTGTCTGAGACAGGTACACACGCAAACAAGCAACGGGTGGTTGGTGAGCGCTATGGTATGGTTTGCTCCTTTTTTCCTATCAAACATCAATCGTCCTTTACTCTCGTCCTTCTTTTCTTTGTATGCACCCCTTTAGTATCACCTCAACTCCTCTGCACTTTTCACAATACGACATAACAGTGTTGCAAGAAGGTTACTAAAATCTAGTACTACAAATTTCTTACAAGAAACTGAATGAAAAGAAACAAACCTTCTCTGGCGGTCTCGGCTCGGTCATCAAAGAGATGATCACGGTAGATATGACAGAAACAGCTGAGATGATGATGGCGAAATGCAGAAAGTGGACTTCGGTCAATACAGAGGGCCTATTGTCCACCTCCAGACTCCCACACGGCGGGCCTGGGTAGACGAATTCCAACACCATCCGCACAATACCAACGCCCGTGCTGATGATCAGACCCCAGAAGGCGCCCTGGATGGCGAGAAAACAATATTATGCTACAGTTTAGAACGCACATATTGAAATAATAAATAAGTATAACGAACACGCACATAGCGAAATATGAATTAGTGAACACGTACATAGTGAAATATGAAATAGTGAACACGTACATAGTGAAATATGAAATAGTGAACACGTACATAGTGAAATATGAAATAGTGAACACATACATAGTGAAATATGAAATAGTGAACACGTACATAGTGAACTATGAAATAG